GGATTACAGGCTGAGCCACCGAGCCCGGCTGGGAAAACATTTTCACAGCTTGCTTTCAGGGTCTGAGCTGGGGTTGCAGGGAGAGGGCTAGGATTGTTAATTTCCCTAGTGGTCTGCATTTTATCAGCTCTAAGCCCTGACAGTTTCCAGAACAAGCAGGCATGTGGAGCTTCCCTGGCAGGGCACAGGGTAACCTGGGGACACATCCTGGGCTACAGGGCAGCATCCACACAGAAGCCAGGAAGGAGCTAGGATGGGGCCTGTACATTAGGGCCTGTTCACCATGATAAAAGGGAGTGGAGGTCAGAACAGGCTACAGGTGATCAAAGTTGCAGGGACTGTCCAAGGAGGTGGAAGTTTTGGGACAGTTTCTCTTTGCCTCAGAGTCCTGGTCTTTAACACCCTCCCAACCCATCCCTTGTAAATTTAACTTTTTATTTTTTGAGTCGGAGTCACTCCGTCGCCCAGGCTGAGTTGCAGTGGCATGCTCACGGCCACCCGTGTCCACCCCAGCGTCAACCTGCTGGGCTCTGGCAATCCTTCCACCTCAGCCTTCCAAGTAGCCAGAACTACAGGCATGCACTACCATGCCCAGCTAATTTTTTGATTTATTGTAGAGATGAGGTCTCACCATGTGCCCAGGCTGGTCTCGAACCTGAGGGCTCAGGCAATCCTCTCACCTCAGCTTCCCAAAGTGCTGGGATTACAGGCTTGAGCCACTAGGCCAGGCTGTAAATTTAACTTTAAAAAATCATCTTGGGCTTTGTTTTTTTTTTTCTTTTTATTTTGAAATAAATTCAAATGTCTAGAAAAGTTGTGAGAATAATACAGAAACATTTTTCTTTTTGAAATGTTTCCAAATAATTTGTTAACATGCCCCGTGACCCTGAAACCTTTAGAGTGTACTTCCAGTAAAAAAGGACACTCTCCTACACATAACCACAATCAGGAGACTAATGCGTCACAACCCTCTAGCCTGCAGGCCCATTTGTGAGTCACCAGGTGCCCCAGTGAACCCTTTTTGGCAAAGGATTTAGTCCAGGGTCATGTGTTGACAAAAGATGCCTAAAATATTTAAGATGGTTTGTTCGGAGTCAAATGTGAATGACCATAGGCCTGTGACAGTGTCCCAAGAGGTCCCAAGAACATGTGCCCTAGGTGGTTGAGTTGCAGCTTGGTTATATAAAATATAGGAGGTCAGAAGTTACAAGAAGCCATAAATCAATACATGGGAGTTTGGCCAGAGAAGGCCGGATGTCTCCAAGTGTGGTCTTACAGGTCATAGGTGTATTCAGAGATTCGGTCTAAGGAATTTTGAAATCAGTAAAGGAAATGCCATGCCATGTGGAGATAAGAGGGCAGCTTGAGGAATGATGAGGGAGTCAAGTTTATTGATATGCAGACGAAGCCTCCTAGGTGGCAGGCTACAGAGAAAATAGGTGGTAAGAGAAGGCAGGTTCATAAAATATTTTGATTTCCTTTATCTGTTGTGTGATGTTATGCCAAAGTCAGATTGGAAAGCAAACTTCATTACATAGATTAATAAAAAACCCATCTGATGAGTCTTTGCATGGTGTGACTGGCCCCTTAGGAATTTGAACAGAGAGAGAGAGAAAAATGTCAGAGTTTAGTCTTTACACGTATGGCATGTAGATGGCACCTATCTGATTTCTGGTCTTAATAGCTCCTTGTTATCTCCTTGCTTTTTTTTTTTTTTTTTTTGAGTTGGAGTCTCACTCCATCGCCCAGGGTGGAGTGCAGTGGCACACTCAAGGCCACACCAGTGTCAACCTGCTGGGCTCCAGCGATCCTTCCGCCTCAGCCTTCCAAGCAACTGGAACTACAGGCACGCACTACCATGCTTGGCTAATTTTTAAATTTATTGTAGACATGAGGTTTCGCCAAGTTGCCCGGGTTGGCCTCAAACCCTTGGGCTCGGGCAATCCACTTGCCTCGACCTCCCAAAGTGCCAGGATTACAGACTGAACTACTGAGCCTGGGCCTTTTTTTTTTTCCTCCTTGCTTTTTGTGACTACCTGGAGTTGGCCAGACTCAAGGTGAAGGGCACAGTCTTTCAGGCTTCCACGTTTTTCCTTGGACTTCAGACTCCAGCTGCAAGTTTGAGGGTCCCTGGGGCCACCCTCACCAGCTGGAGACAAACTAGGGGGTCCTCCTGGACTTCTTCAGTTTTGATAGCCCCTAGAGTGAGTGATAGAATTCAGGAAAGTGCTGTATGTATGATTTTGGCTTTATGGCAGTAAAAGGATACAAATCAGAAACATCCAAAGGAAGAGATGCAACGGTGAGTTCCAAGAGCTTCCGTGTCCTCAGAGACTCACTCCTCTCATGTCCCTCTATGTGACAAGACGTGGAGTATTCCTGACCTAGAATGCTCACCTAAACTTGGGTCTCTGGAGTCTTTATTGGGGTATTAGTACCGTAAGTATGATTGATTGAACTGCTGGCCACTTGACTGAATTCAGTCTCCAGCCCTGCGCCTCCCCTCAAGCCCCACAACTCTAATCATGTGGTGGATCTCTCTGGACATCTGAGTCCCTTGTTAGCGTAAGCTATCAGGGCCACCATAAAAAAATCCAAGGCACTCTTATCACTCAGGAAATTCGAAGGATTTAGAGGCTATCTCCAGGAAACCAGGACAAAGGTCAGACCTCTCTTTGGGTGACGTTAATTCCTTATTCCATGTGATTTGACACATATGAAGATTATAGGCTTATGATTGTATTGTGTGGGGAGAGTCAGCAGACTGTGGTCTCTGAGCCAGACACAAGGGCCTAATGTGGTTGCAGCCTGTTTTGTAGGTAAAACTTTATTGGAACTATTTTCTTATGCATTTCCTGGGACTGCTTTCATGCCTGGGCATAGTTGCATGGTTGCAGAAGACCTTATGGCCCATAGAGCCTAAAATATTCGCTGTCTAACCATTTACAGAAAAATTTCACCCACCTGTTTCCTCAATTTGGGTTTATCTGATACTTGCTTGTGGTTAGATTCAGTCATCCATTTTTGGCAGAAATGTCACAGAAGTGACGCTGTATTCTTCTTTTCTTATATGCTATCATGATTTCAGTTGGTTTCATTCAGTTTCCCCACTTGATTCCCTTGTAATTGACAAGTATGGGAGGGACTGAGATTGTTGACATCTCCTCTAACCATCCTTCTACCCACCAGTCTAGCACCTACTGATACTTACTAGGTGAATTAGTTATTACTAAAATGATTATCAAATGGTGATATTACTAATTTAGTAATTCGTTCAACACTTGTTGGCTAGCATTCTACTGTAAGGAAAAGTTTCTCTTCTCCTGTTTATTTATTCATTAGTTCATTCATATCAGTCTCACTCAGAGATTTCTGCTTTGTGCAACGGATAACTGCCTGTTAATATCATTCTTGGCTGGGCATGGTGGCTCACACCTGTAATCCCAGCACTCCTTGGGAGGCCAAGCCAGGAGGATCCCCTGAGCCCAGGAGTTCAAAGCTACAATAAACCATGATTGTGCCACTGCATTCCAGTCTGGGCAACAGAGTGAGACCCCAGCCCAAAAAAGGTCTTATTCTGGACCGGGCTTGGTGACTCAGCCTGTAATCCTTGTGAGTGGATTGCCTGAGCCCATGTGTTCAAGATCAGCCTGGGCAACTTGGTAATACCTCATCTCTACAATAAACCCCCCAAAATTAGCTGGGTGTGGTATCACCTGTAGTTCCGGCTTCTTGGAAGGCTGAGGCAGAAGGATCACCGGAGCCCAGCAGGTCGACGCTGGGGTAGCCGTGAGTGTGCCACTGCACTCCAGCCTGGGTGATGGAGTGAGACTCCAACTCAGAACTTATTTTGCTGCTAAGATTGTTCCAGATTTGACTTTGGTGACCTCTTTTTTTTTAGATTAGGAAATATAGTTTATTTAGAAAGTAAATGTGAGAGAGAGAGAGAGAGAGAGAGGGGAGGACATCACCTCCCCAAGGTAGGAGAGGGGGCCAAAGCTTAGGAAAATATAGCCTGGCCATAGCTCAAAGAGCTCATGGCCCCCCCATAGCTTAGCAAGGCAATGGCCTTTTTTTTTTTTTTTTTTTGAGTTGGAGTCTCACTCTGTTGCCCACGCTGAAGTGTAGGGGCACGCTCATGGCCACCACAGCCTTGACCTACAGGTTCAGGTGATCCTTCCAGCTCAGCCTTCCAAGTAGCTGAAACTATATGCACATGCCACCAGGCCCTATTAATTTTTGATTTATTGTAGAGACAAGGTCTCACCAAGTTGCCCAGGCTGGTCTGAAACCCCTGGGCTCAGGCAGTCCTCTCGCCTCAGCCTCCTAAAGTGCTGGGATTACAGGTTTTAGCCACTATGTGCAGCCTCTTTTTTTTTTTTTTTTTAATCGAAGTCTCACTCTGTCACCCAGGCTGGAGTGCAGTGGCACACTCACGGCCAGCACAGCCTCAACCTGCTGGGTTCAGGTGATCCTTCTGCCTCAGCCATCCACGTAGCTGGAACTATAGGCATGCGCCACCACGCCTGACTAATTTTTCTAGATTTATTGTAGAGACGAGGCCTCACCAAGTTGCCCAGGCTGGTGTCGAATTCCTGGGTCCAGGCAGTCCTCTTGCCTCAGCCTCCCAAAGTGCTAGGATTACAGATGTGAGTCTTTCTTTTTTTAATCTCCAACATTTTATTATTTTATTTTACTTTTAGGCAGAGTTTCACTCTGTCACCCAGGCTTGATGCAGGGGCAGGATTATGACTCACCATAGCCTTGACCTCCTGGGCTTGGGGGATCCTTCTGCCTCAGCCTCCCAAGTAGCTGGGACTACAGGTGTACCACCACACCCAACTAATTTTTTTATTCCCTTTTTTTGTGTGTGGAGACAAGGTCTCCTAAAATGTATGCTTGGGCCCCCAGGATAATGCTGGGCTCTTGTGCTTACATGTGTGCATGTGTCTGCACACATGCGTGTACATATAGGGATAGACGGGGCAGCTGCTCAGAATAGTCAGGTTGCTTTGCAGAGAGGATAGCAGGCTGGGCTTGCTGCTACTCTGCCTTCTTGGGCAAACACTATAGAGCACCAGCGTTTGCTGGTGTTTTTGAGGCATCAACTCTGTGCCAGCCAGGTCTGTCACAGGAATGAGGTGACTGGAGGTGCTGCCTTCCCTTTGCTGACCACTGAACTTATTTCCTACATCTTTCTCTTAGTAGTTACACTTTCTCCCTCATGTGAATGTTTATAAGGATCTTGGTGGGCTAGGCACGGTGGCTCACGTCTATAATCCCAGCACTTTGGGAGCCCATGGGTTTGAGACCAGCCTGTGCAACTTGGTGAGGCCGCTTCTCTACAATAAATCAAAAAACTAGCCAGGCATGGTGGCGCATGCCTGTGGTTCCAGCTACTTGCAAGGCAGAGGCGGAAGGATCTCCGGAGCCCAGTAGGTCGAGGCTGCAGTGGCCATGAGCATGCCACTGCACCACTCCAGCCTGGGCGACAGAGTAAGACTCCAACTCAAAAAAAAAAAAAAAAAAAAAAAAGGATCTTGGCTATAAAGCTGACATACACTGGTTGGTTGAAGGTCAGCCGGGTGTCTCCACCTACCAAGTGGCCTTCAAGCCTTAGGGCTCAGATCACATTTAGAAACATTTAGAAACTCTGGCCCTCAACTCACCAACACATACTCCAGGTGTTCCTTGTGGGATCCCAGAGTTGGGCCTGAACAGAGAGGCTCCCTGGAGGTCTAGGGGCACAGAGTCCACCCAGGCAGCCTAAGGTAGGCATCAACCTTGACTGGGAGGGCCCTTTTGCCAGGCAGAAGTGTGAGCCATGCAGAATGTGGGGACAAGGCCTCCAGCCACAGCCAGCATCAAGGCCACTCTAACCTCCAGCCCCTTCTCTGGGCCTTGAGTGGTGTGCCTGTGTGTATATGGTCAGGCCACTGCTTGGCATCTCACTCTGAGGCTGCTCAGCCAGTCCACCGAACTCTCCTAGGGTCCCCATCCTGAGACCCACTTGACTCAGGTCAGGCCTGGGGGTCTGGGGATGCCCCTCTATCTCCAGCATTCCCATCCTGTCTGCCCTGCCCTGCCCTGTCTTGCGTATCTCCCCTGAGGAGCCCAGTACCTGGTAAACAGACACCCAGGACTTCCCCTTTTCTGCCCTAACTGGGGCCCCTTCCCTGCAGACCTTGCTTCATCAAGCCTTGGAGACCCTCTTTATGTCGTCCTCTCTTCTTTTCTGGTGGACCTCAGGCTGCAGGTGACCTTAACCCTCCTGTGACCTCTGCCACCTTGATCACATCTGTCATTTATTCTTGGAAATGCACAACCCTGCCCCCCTTGTTGGCATGCCTGGTCCTCCTGTCCCTTCCTCTTTCTGCCTCAGAATCCCCATTCTCTCCAACCACACTGGCTCCTACCCACTCTCTCCTTGGTGCCTGTGGGCATTGTAGTCAGGGACCAAGGATGGAGTGAACAAAGGCTGCCTGTTGTGCAGATCCAGAGACTAACCTGCAGGGACGGTGTCCTGAATAGAGGGGCCAAGGGACATACCTCATAAGCTCAGCACCCTTTGCCCCATGTGCTCACAAGAGCCCGATGGGCAGGAGGCTGGATCCTGGCTTGGCTTCAGCCTTGAGGCACAAGAGACTGGCAGGGATGAGGCTTGACCATGAGGGGGATCTGAGAGCAAAGGGACCAAGCACAGGAGTCCCCAGGGCTTACTTGTCTGAGGACTGAGGGCCACCTCTGTCTGCAGGTCTCTGATGATCGGCCTGCAGATCTCCCTGGACTACTGGTGGTGCACAAATGTCATCCTACGAGGGGTGGAAGAGGTTTGTACCCATGCCCTGAACACACGGGGGCATTGGGGGACACGAGGAGGTGGTAGGCACTGGGTGGAACTGAGGCAGTTGCCTGCCCCCCATCCCTTCCCTCCATGTCTGTGGTTAGAACAGCCCGGGGTACGTGGAGGTGATGTCTGCATGTCACCAGCGGGCAGCTGATGCCCTGGTGGCAGGAGCCATCAGCAATGGGGGCCTATATGTGAAGCTCGGCCAGGGGCTGTGCTCCTTCAACCACCTGCTGCCCCCTGAATACATCAGGACCCTGCGTGTGCTGGAGGACAGGGCCCTCACACGTGGACTCAAGGAGGTGAGCCCTGCTCTCAGGCAGAGGGAGGTGGGGGTCTCCAGCAGTGGCCCCATGCTGTACCAAGCACCCCTCCTATCAGGTAGACCAGTTGTTCCTTGAGGATTTCCAGGCCCTGCCCCTCGAGCTTTTTCAGGAGTTTGACTACCAGCCTATGGCTGCTGCCAGCTTGGCCCAGGTGCACCGAGCCAAGTTGCATGATGGCACCACCGTGGCTGTGAAGGTATGCGGGGGGCCACCTTGTGCATCAGTGGGCTTGGGCCTGTGATGGGACCTCAGGTCCTCACTACACATTTGCCTGGTACAGGTGCAATACATCGACCTGCGGGACCGCTTTGATGGGGATATCCACACGCTGGAGCTCCTGTTGCAACTCATCGAGGTCATGCACCCCAGCTTTGGCTTCAGCTGGGTCCTCCAGGTATTGGCCGCCACGGGCAAGCTAAAGTGAGCTGTGTCCTGCACATGCTGGAGGGTGGGGGAAGCTGGTTCTTGACCTTGACCCGTGACCCCCCAGGACCTGAAGGGGACCCTGGCCCAGGAGTTGGACTTCGAGAATGAGGGCCGCAATGCCGAGCGCTGTGCACGGGAGCTGCAGCACTTCCATTATGTCGTGGTCCCCCGCGTGCACTGGGACAAGTCCAGCAAGGTGGGCTGGGCCGGCCCTTCCTGGGTTGGGGCAGCATGGGCCTGCTGAGCTCAGCCTCCTGCTCTCTCCCAGCGTGTGCTGACAGCCGACTTCTGTGATGGCTGCAAGATCAACGACGTGGAGGCCATCAAGAACCAGGGGCTGGCAGTGCAGGATGTGAGTGCCATGGGTGTTGGGTGAGAGCCTTGTGTACTGACAGGGGCAGCAGGGTGCTGCCTGTGTCCACCACCCATCCGGTTCTCTCCCCAGATAGCAGAGAAGCTGATCCAGGCCTTTGCCGAACAGATATTTTACACAGGCTTCATCCACTCTGACCCCCACCCTGGGAATGGTAGGAAATGCCTAGGGGGTGGGGGTCTCAGGGTGGGGTGGCATGAACTAATGTGCTACACTCCTAGTTCTGGTGCGAAAAGGCCCGGATGGCAAGGCGGAGCTGGTGCTGCTGGATCACGGGCTCTACCAGTTCCTGGAGGAGAAGTAAGCCTAGGACCGGGGGAAGGGGGCAAGCCTCTCTCTAGGGCCTGGTCTTTCCTGCCCTGGAGCCTGGGGCTCATGACTGGGCCCACTCACAGGGACCGGTCAGCCCTGTGCCAGCTGTGGCGGGCCATCATCCTGAGGGACGACACTGCGATGAGGGTACACGCAGCTGCACTTGGGGTGCAAGGTGAGGGAGGTGTGGCTGCCAGGGAGAGGGCAGGTAGTGGGCTCCAGAGCTCCAACTCAGACCTTCCTGCCTCCCCAGACTACTTGCTGTTCTCTGAGATGCTCATGCAGCGACCTGTGCGCCTGGGGCAGCTGTGGGGCTCCCACCTCCTGAGCCGTGAGGAGGCAGCCTATATGCAGGACATGGCGCGGGATCACTTCGAGAACATCATGGAGGTGCTCAAGGCGCTGCCGCGACCTATGCTGCTCGTGCTACGCAACATCAACACTGTGCGTTCCATCAATGTGTCCCTGGGCACCCCCGTTGACCGCTACTTCCTCATGGCCAAGAGGTTGGTGACCCAAGGAAATGCCCTGAGGTGTGGGGCAGGGCCAGGCTGGGACTGACATTTGGGGTCTATGCAGGGCTGTCAGGGGCTGGAGCCGCCTAGTAGGAGCAACATACCAGGGAGTCTACGGTGTCAGCCTTCTGCGCCACATCAAGGTTGTCTGGGAAATGCTCAAGTTCGAAGTGGCCCTGAGGTGAGTGGATGCATGGGGCTGGTGAGGCAGTTTGCCAGGGCCTGCTCCTCACTGACTTGTGACCTCAACCTTCTCTCCCCAGGCTGGAAACCCTGGCCATGCGAATCACAGCCCTCTTGGCTCGTGCTTTGGGCCACCTGGGCCTTATGCCCCCAGCTGAAGAGCTCTATCAGTACCTGGAGACCTAGGGTACCCAGGGTTCCTACAACCACAGACAACTGCCTGGGGCCAGCAGGGCCCATCCGCTTCAGGCCTGAGCCAGCCAGGGCTGGCCATGTGGATACTCCAAGACCCGGGAGCCTGGAGCAACTATGGCCTGGAGTATGGGATACACTGGGGGGCTCTGACCATGACCACACCAGTTTGTGCACTGACCACATGCTTGTCTCAAACAAATTTTTTCCTTGTGTTTTGTACAAAAAAAGGATGAGAGGTAGTGTACAGGGCAGTAGCAGCATCCACAGGGCTAGAAATGGGCAGTGACACGGTCTGTCTCCAACAAGTCATCCAGAATCTGCAGGGGAGGGGAGAAGGAGAAGTGGAAGACCTGCACTGGGCAGGCAGGCAGGGGGTGGGGGCACTGGGTGGGCAGCACTCACGATGTCAGGTGTAGTGCCAATCTTCTTGGCCAGCTCACTGCGCTCCATGGTGCTGAGGTACAGGTAGCGGTTGAGCAGCTCCCCATCAAGCACATTGCGTACGGCGTTCTGTAGGATGCGGCGGTCTACATGCAGCATCCTGGGGGGCATGCAGGCGTGGGGATCAGGGAAGATCTGGGTGACTGGGCTGGGCTGGGCAGGTCAGCTAGGGGCTTACCGGAAGGCACGGGGGTTGAGGCCAGCATGGTGAGGCAGCATGGTAGTCAGCGCATTCTGCAACATCAGCAGCCGCCGGTAGGTCTTCTCCTGCATAGGCAGCAGGAGTCCAATGCCGCCATCCAGGGTGGCTAGGGGGGTTTGCAGTGTGAGCCAGGCTGGTCTCCCATAGCCCACATACCAGACACACCCACACCCAGCACTCACCAAACCATGTGATGTGCTTATTCTCCCACACGACTGACTTTTTGCTGGGTCCCTCAGTGGCCCCCCGGCATGGGGTCCTCCAGAACGTATTCACATGGGCACCCACGTGGAAGTCTGCCCGGCGTAGCAGGCGCATGCCCCCAAAACTCTCCTTGGCTAGACAAGAACAACCTCAGGTCACTGCCTGTGTGACCCTCAGCCCAGGTGGAGGTAGGGTGGAGGAGGCACTCACCTTCTGGCAGGTACATGTATACCATGAGATTCCGGTCACGGTCAGACACTGGGGAGCAGAAGCCTGAGTCAGTCCCAGCCCGCTTCCCCCAAGTCTCGGCCTCCCCCAGGCCCCACATACTCACCCAGGAAACCTAGCTGGGCATTGTCTACCATAAAGTCGACGCTGTACACCTCCAGGGGCTTGGCGTCCTGGGGACAGGAAGATTGGGGTGTCAGGGATGACCTTGAGCCAGTGCCCACCCAGACACAGGTGTTGGGACCACCCAGGGTACCCGGGACACAAGGCTCAGCGTCTTGCTCTCCTCCTGATAGCGCAGCAGTGAGATGCTCTTCATGACATCTGCAGCCAGAATGAAGTTCTTGACACTGATCATCTGGTGGATGTAGAGCTGTGTGTCGATGAAGGCCATGCCTGTCAGCTCACTAGCCCGCAGGCTCCACAGGAAAATCTAGGGGGGCAAGGAGAGTGTGACCTGGGGCAGACACTGTAAGTCGGGGTGGAGGGTGAGCTGGGGCAGATGCACAGGCAACACACCTTTTGGCCAATGGCTGATACCAGGTGGCCATTGCAGTGGCACAGGGCAGTCACTGGCCCCTTCTGTTCTTTCTCATAAAGGACCTTGAACTTGTTCTTGGTCAAGGGCTGGCCAGGCTCAGGCACCACCTCAATCACATCCATGATCAGGATCTGGCAGGGCACGAAATGCATGGGGGATGACAGAAGGGCTGCTGGGGTCACCTGCCCCCCACCAACTGGTTTCTTACCCGCCCACGACACGTGACTTCCTCCCCTTGCATGAGACAAGTTCCAGCAGCCACATAACCCTTGAGGCCTGACACAGTCTCCTCACTGCGTAGTGACACTGTCTTCATGCAGGTCACATGCTCCCACTCTTCTAACTCAATCCTGCAATGAGGCCGGGTGTGTCAGAATGCCACCCCCACTGGCCAAGGGCAGCCCCCACCTGGGTCCAGCCTCACCTGGCATTGGGAATGGCCTCCCAGCTGACTGGGGAGATGAGCTGGATAGAGAAGGCCTCCTGCTGGGGATGGATGTACCGGTCATCTGTAGGGATGAAGGGTGATGGTCACAGCTACCCCAAGCTGGGGTCTAAGAAGGGACTGTGGTGTGGGCGTCACTTACCTCTCTCAATGGTCTCAAATTCCTTCTCCTCACCAGTCATGCGTGGGATGCGGGTACACAGTGTGTTGGTGCTGGTGGCAACAGCATATACCTGGGGGTTGGAAGGTGTCACACACCAAAGGCTGGGCCCAGAACGTCCCCCGGTGGGGTGGGGATGAGGAGGGAGCAGACCTTGGACTCCACGTGGTAAGCCACATAGTGGGCTGTGCAGCGCAGCGGGATCTTCCTGACGGGCCAGGGGGCATCATAGGACAAGTAGGCAGGCAGGACACTGATCCTCAGCTCACCCTGGGGTGGGGTGGGGGCAGCAGAGTCAGCCAGGCCTGGGGCCAGCCAAGGGCAGGGGCAAGCAGACCCAGGCTGCTGAGGGCTCCCTTGGATGCTGCCCTCAGCTCTGCCAGAGCAGGAGTAGGTTGATATATCCTGACAGTGCCCTGGAAGGGGCCCCAGCTGTGGCAACCAGAGCTTCTGTCAGCAAGTTTCTATCTACTCTCCCAGGCTCACCCAGGGCCAAAGACACTGACCATGGGATGGGAAGCCAGGCTCCGAGGGCACCTTCTGGGGACTGCAGAAATGGGCATAGGGAGCCCTGGGCCACTCTCCTTCTCTGACAGTCCTGAGTCCCAAAAGACCTAAGTTCTCAGTGCAGTCACCATTGTGGCACAGATGAAACAGGCTCAGAATGGATGCATGCCTCCCAAAAGTCACAGAGCAACTAAGGGGGAGGGCTGTGGTTCAAGCCTGCTCAGTGTGGCTCCTAAAGAAGAGCAGAGACTGGGCCATGCAAGGGCTTGCCAGGTGGCCCAGCAGAGCAGTGGTGGGGCGCCCTGTCAGCCACACTCCCCATTCCCAAATGTCCCATCCTCCAGACCCTCCCAGTATCAAGCCTAGGCTCCACCTTCTTGGCCTTGGCCCCACCAGCCTCTGGATGCTCCTTCTTGGCCCTCTGGGTGGAGTGAAGGCTCCTTCTGTCCCCACCCATCTGTACCCAGCTAGTGAGGGGCTCGGTTCTGGGGCCTGGGCAGCATCAGCAAGCAATAGCAGGAAACAGCCTGGGCCACCTTACCTGTCTGTTGAAATACAGGAAGCCACGGGGGCAGTTGACATTGTGGAAGGGAGCAAAAGAGTCAATGGGGCCATCGATGCCCATGGGGTGCAGCCGCAGAGCTCCCCGGCCAGTCACTAGGAGCCAGTGGGGCGAGGGGCCACAGATGAACACCTGCAGGCAGGCACCACGAGGACGCTGTGGGCAAGGCCACATCTCCCTTCTTCCCCAGGACCTCTGCCAAGCCATTGCCTACCCCTGAATAGCCATAAATGTCCTCAAAGTAGCGGAAACGCGCCACGCGGCCCCGAGCCCCAGGCCCTTCCTCTGTGCTGCCACCTTCAGCTTTCTTCTTGGATGGCTTTGGTTTCTTTTCACGGAAGTTGATGTTATGGGGGACCTGTGAGGGAACAGTGAAGGCCAGCTCCTCCTGATGCTGCTGGCCTGGACTCCAACCTTCCTGCGCCATACCTGCCCCAACCCCAGCAAAGTCCAGCTACTGGCACCTTCTTAAAGCGAACTTTGAGGTTGCCCTGACCAAGCTGAGAGTCGTGGGGGAAGGCCTCGTAGATGAGCAGCTCCTGGTCCACGTGCACCTGGAAGGATGGGACAAGGCCACTGAGGAAGACACAGGGCCATCAAAGCTGAGGTGAAGCCAGTGGTGTGGGGGTGTGGCCACAGCCACTCACCAGCAAGTAGGGCTTGCTCTGGCGGCTGCCCAGCGCCACCAGCAGCACCTCCTTGACAAGGGGCAGCTCCCCCTGGCGCGTGGCCTCCTCCTTGCGGGCCTCGCCCTGTGTGGTAGGTTGTCCAAAGGAGCTGTCCACCAGAACCCTCTGCCCCACAGGGAAGTTTTTCACCAGGAACACCAGTCGCCAGTCTGGGAGCTGGTAAATCTGTGGGGTTAACAGCAGGAGTGAGCAGCTTCAGCTGGAAAAGGGTATGGTGGGCCAGCTGTGCCACTGCATGGGTGCCACCCACCTCCATAGTTCCATTCTCCCGCACCAGCAGACACCAGTGGGTGGGCTCTGCCCGGAAGGGAGCAGGATCCCGGTCAGCAGGGGGCTGGGTGCTCCTCCGAGCCTCCTCCTTGCTGGGGCTAAACAAGGAGCTCGAGTCCCCATATAGCATCTCTTCCTCGTCATCCACAGTGGGGCTGGGGGCCAGCAGAGAGTCACAGGTAGCCTGTGGGCCCCAGGGCCCCAGGCCCCACCTCCACCCCAGGCCCCCACACACCTGGTCTCTGAGCCCAGGCCCTCTGCTTCTAAGCCACTGCGGCCCCCCAGTTCATCACGGGCCCCTCCCAGGCGGCTCTCCGTGGTAAACATGCCACTGAGGTCACGATACAGGCACAGCGTGATCACTTTAGACTGCTGCGGAGAGAGGGGTAGGGCTCAGCAGTAGGTTGGGGGCAGGGAGCCAACAAGTACCAGATATGGGGGGCCTACATGGTGCAGCGGGGGCTTATGCAGCGCCAGACGGTGGTGGCGGCCGCCGTAGGAGTCACTCTTGAGCAGGAACATGGTGACGTGGCCCTCAGCACTCATGATGACCACGTAGGGGTCAGCCACAGCACACTGCACGATGGGGGCACCCAGGTCCACAGGGATGAAGTGCAGCTGATTCACTGTGGGCATAAGGTGGTCAACACGGGGCAGCTGGCATCCCCCTCCCCAGGACTGCTAACCTCTTCCCACCTACCCACCTCCTTCTAGCAGGCGGATGCCCAGTGGTGACACTTGGACAATGTAGCGATTATCCCCGATGTTTCCAGCAAAAACTGTGGGACCCTGCGTGGCAAAGCCACTGGTGTCCAGCTCCATGATCTCTTGCCCTGTCTGC